TAATTGTGATTGGTATATCCATACTAGTAGTGCCGTCCATAGGCATAGTGGCCACACTTAAAAATCATTTTGGCCTGGCTATAGCGTTCAGCGTACTAATGACCCTGCTGGCTATTTCCAGCATTGTAGCGGTTGTGTACAACACTGACCACGTGGCTAATCTGATATTTACCCTGTTGATCACTGGGTTGTCCTATTCGTTTGCTATGGATTGTCACAAAATTAAGCTAGCTAGATTAACTGGCCCGATTCCCGTGGTAACCGGTCCCCACATTCACCCCCAGTTGGCAATAGGTCAGCAAGTTTACCAGGGTCAGCCAGGTCATCAGGTTCCGCTGCAATTGACCACCGATGCATATGTTATGCAACAGGGCTATGGCATGCAACCGGGTTACTCAATGCCCATGAACAATATTGCGCCCCCTTCACCTAATGACCCTTATGTCCCACAAAATCACCAGGATAATAAATTCTCGCCTGTTTAACTAACTTTATTGTTATTTTAGCAATTTTATTTAAGTTATATTAATTTTTTACTGTCACAAATAAATTTAAAATTAATTATTTAGTGCTTTTATTTTTTATGTTATATTTAATAATTAAAATACTAAAATTTATTTACTGTTTCCAAATAGAAATATAAATTTTTGTGTTATAAAATGTTTTTGCATATATTTTAGTTTTGCAATAAAAATCAATGTCAAAATTATTGTTACATATCTATCGTGTTTTGTTTTCGTCAATACAACTATTTTAATACATACATAAATACAGCTAATTGTTTACAAATAACAAAACAATATATTACTATTTGTTTCCATAGTATCATACGTTTACAAGTAATGTTATATTTTCTTACATGTAAAATAAGGTTAACATAATTTGTTAAATTATGAGAAATTATAAAGTAAGCAAATTAAACTAAATTACATTAATTAGTAATTAATAGCAGATTTTATTTAACATCTAGAGCGATCCATGGATATAAGAGATAGTAGCTCGTTTAAGTGCAAAAAATGGACATTGTTTACCTTATCACTTGTAGGCCTATTCTGTTACGCGGTTGCCACATTGTACATGGTCATTATAATTGCAGAATATGATCATCGTGAACATAAGGTAAATAAACATAATTTTGTTTTAAAAAACAAATTACCTAATTAAAAATATATTTACAATTTAGGGTCGAGCTATATTGCTAGTACTAGTGGTGGGGGCAACAGTTTGCGCCGTACCTGCAATAGGCATAGCTGCCAGTTATAAAGAGCACGTTGGTCTGGCCATTGCGTTCAGTGTGCTAATGACCATGGGCACTATTGCTAGCGCTGGGGCTGTTTGGAGTGATTTTAATTACACCCCCGTTCTACTGGTTAACATCATGATTACTGGAATGTCATATTCATTTGCCCGGGATTGTTACAAAATTAAAATGTCAAGTTTGCCATCTAGTCCGCTTCCCATGATGGACAGCACCGTTATATACCCTAGGTTGATGTCTCATTCTCAACATGGTCAACAACAACAGGCACCCTTACAATTAACCACCGATGCTTATGTTTTGCCGCAAGGTTATGGCATTCAACCCAGTTACGCTATGCCCATGCCCAATTATCCTGATGTAAAACCTCCGCTAACACCACTGACAACGCCCCTACCCTCTCTCAATGATCCTTATATACCACCAACCTACCATGGGCAAAATATAGTTTTGCCTATGTAGTTAATTTTTATAAATATTAATTAATTATGTTTTATTTTATCTACTTATTTTATTAATTTTTTTTAATAAATGTCACTTAAAAATTAATGTAAGTTGATTAGTGAATATTTAATTAATATTCTTAAATTATAAGAAGTAAAAATAAAATATATGTTTTATTAATATAACTTATATGACTAAAATTATTGATGTTTGTTGTTATTCTTATTAATGTATTTGTATGTCATGTGTATAAAGTCTTAATATTTACGCTATTGTTATGCAATAAAAAAATCAATGCTAATTGAATAGAATATTTTTATTATGATGAATTTTTCAATATCATAAATACAACTAATTATTTCATAAATATATAAAGTATAAAACAATAATATATTTTTACCACTCGTTTCCATAGTACTGTATGTTTACAACAAGTAATATAAATATTCCCTTGTTTTACATTATAATACATGTATTATTAGTTAATACATTAAACAACAATTAATAAATGTCAAATGAGTGTCAAAGATGATAATGTTAACAATAAAAAGTTTACAATGATAAATTATAAGCACCAATTAAAGCATGTTTGACATGATTTGTTGCAAGGTAGTTGACGCTCTGTGCGAAGCTAGCGATATTAATTGGGACATTCGCCAGGACAAGTTGTTCAAGGTCAAAAAGTTGATACTATTTACCTTGTGTATGGTTGGCTATGCAATGTTATTGGCCACAATTGTCGAGGGCTGTTCATTAGCTAAGTCTAATTATGTAATAATTATTACATTTAATTAATATAATTTACATAATTATAACTACATTGTAGTATTATCTAGTTATCTACTTATTTGACAATTTTAAATTAATAACCTTGTTAAATTAAAATAAAATTATTATAGAATTTTGTTAATTTATATTTAATTGCCATGTTTATTTTAGAGAGTATTGATCATGCTATTCGGGTTTGTAATAGCAATAATGATGGTAACCTCAACATTGGGCCTATTGGCCACAATAAGCGATAGCTACAACTTTGCCATATCATTTGCCATATTGACCATGATCAATACTGTATTGTGCATGGCCACATTGATCGTCAATAATGACCTGTCGGTAATGCCATTTACATTAGTGTACAATATTTTGGTCACATTTCTGGGCTTTTCGTACGCAAAGGATTGCAATGTTATTAAAGTATTGAAACGTGTGGACGGATTGGGTGTTATTATACCACAACGTGGTCAACAATACGCTCTCCAGACATTGGACCCGGTTCATTTTCGCAATGATGTCTACCTGGAAAACTATGAAGCTCATATGCGTGGCTGTAGCACAACTGTCCTTGGTCCGGCGATATAAATTTTGTTATCTAGTGGTTGTATGTAATTATTATTGTTAAATAAAAGCAACAAAACAGGAAATTTAATTATTAATAATAATTTATTCATAACTTTTAAATCAACATTTGTTTGTATTTAAAATTATATGGGTTATAATTATACATAATACAATATAAATATTTGCATTGTAAATAACTTTTTACAACACTATTAAATTATGCAGACTAGAGCAATAACTGTAGGTTGATACTTTCACCTACATTATTAGCTTCAATGTCAAGGTTGTAACAATATTTCCAAAAGGAAATTGATATTATTAAACATTAGTTACATTATTAAACTAGTTAAACATGTAAAATTTAATAACATACAGTGTAACTTGACTACTGGATAACTACATAATATCAACATGTGGAGAGAGTTGTTTCCAAAATGTTCTCAAGCACTACAATAACATACAGTATTTTATCAGTCTATAACACTTATAATAAATACCTGTTTAGCAAAAATTGCATTTAATTTTAAAAAATGTGCCCTTAAATAGTACTTAAACTATTACATCAATTGATACATGATATCAGCAGAGATTAAAACCACGTTTGACTTGTGTATATAAAGGGAGTGCAAATCAAGTGAAAAATTATTTAACATTGATCAAATACTATAAAACTGTTTGAACTCTGTATTATTTAAATAACTCAACAGAAAACAAAACAAAATAATGGCATTTGTTGGAAAGGTATGTAAAATATTAATTTAATCAAATTATTTACACTAATCTAGCTAGTAATAATTATCTAAATTGCTAGTATAATATAACAATTCATAATAATTAACAGACAATCACTTGTAAGGCGGCTCTATTGCGAACAGAGGGCCACCCGTTAATCATAGAGACAATTACAGTAGACCCGCCCCAGGGGTCAGAGGTTAGGGTACGCGTGGTATCGGCGGGCGTTTGCGCCACTGATGGGCACCCGGTGTGGGGCCGCGAGACCGACGTACAGCTCGACACCGGCGGTCGGCCTATGGTTTTGGGCCACGAGGGGGCGGGTGTGGTCGAGTCGACGGGTCCGGCGGTTACTAGTGTACGGCCCGGCGATAAAGTGGTGATCATGTGGATGCCTGAGTGTGGTCGGTGCGAGTTATGCGCCAATCCGCGCACCAATCACTGTCTGTCCGGCAATATTGTGACCAACATGTATCACGAGGGTGGCCAGTGTCGCACCCATGTCGATGGCCAACCGGTGCTTATGTTTTGTAAGTGTTATGTTTTTATGTAACTATGTTATAATTAAAATTTATTTATATTCAAATAAAATGATATTAATTATGCAATTATTTTTAATTTTAGTTGGCACAGGCACTTTTGCACAGTACACTGTGGTACGCGAGGCTCAAGTTGCCAAGGTAATCTACAGTACATCCAAATGATTATAATTCACGAAGTTTATTTAACTTAATGATCTTGTTAAATTAAACGAGTTAGGTTAATCCCAAGGCCAACCTAAACGATATATGCATAATAGGCTGCGCTGTGGGCACGGGCTATGCCGGGGCCACAAACATAGCTAAAGTCCAGAGGGGTTCAAAGTGTGTGGTCTGGGGTTTGGGCGCTATCGGACTGTCGACTGTGTTGGGCTGTAGGGATGCCGGCGCCGCACAAATCATCGGGATCGATCGTAACGATTACAAAGGTGAAATAGCTAAACAGTTGGGCTGCACCAGATTTATTAATCCAAAAACAACCGGTATGTTTCGTGTGTCGCATATAATTAGATACATGTTGCATAATTAATTAATTAATTATTATTATAGATAAACAAATTGACGACATATTAAAGAGTGAGGGCGGAGTGGACTACGCTTTCGATTGTATCGGTAGTGTCGATGTTATCGATAGTTGCCTAAAGTCACTACATCCATGGGGTTTTCTAACCTTGATAGGTCACTAGTTAATTAAATATGCACAGTGAAAACAAATAAAATTTATAGCAATTTTAATTTTAGGTCTACCACCAAGAGGAAAGACAGTGAATATACCCAGCAGTCAATTACTAGGGGGAGCGCACGTGTCGGGCGGCTATTATGGTAACGCTAAGCCCAGGGCCCTAAACCAACACTTGGTTGACCTGCACTGTACTGATCGGTTGCCCATTGAACACATGATAACTCAGCGTTTAAATCTAGATGATATAAATAAGGCCTTTGATGATCTAAAAGCGGGTAAAGCTATTCGTACAGTCATCGTGTTTGATTAATTATTTCATGTTTTGTTAATTTTACATTGATTTTGTTGCAATGATTATTTACTAAGAATTAATGTTTTAACCCTTCCTGCGTATCGTGGCTGATTATTCAGCCATTTCAACTTTAGCATTTAATATAAAATCAACGGTTAATTCAGTCAATCATTATAAAAATCCAGATATGCCTCACATATATGTTATCGAGTAGATCTAAACAATTAAAATGCTTTTAGCACTAATAATTAAAAATTAAACAAATAATTAGTGAATCAACATTTTAACTTTTTTTTACTGAGTGAAATACAATATTTAAATATAAAAAAATTAAATAAATATAACATAAAATATAATTTACTGAAAATAAACTTTAACTAAACTTTAAGCTAAACTGTTTTTATAATTTTACTGCAAACCATTTGTTTATTTAAAAGAGATGGTAAATGTCTACAATTACACGTATGAAGTAACACATGATAACAATGAAAATACAATTAAATAAAGTTAAAATATTATTTATGTATGCCAATTAATATATAATCTTAAAGAACAAATGAGTTTCAAAATTAGTATGTTTATCATTTTAAAATTTTAATTAATGTTAGTAACATTTTTGTAAAATATATCAATAAATATGGTTAACATTAATAGATTTTATTAAAAAATTTTATTATATCTTATGTTAAATAATACATGTATTTTATATTACAATTTCATTAACAATACTGAATGATACCTTTAAATTATTTAAGAATATAAAATAATACAAATTATAATAATTTAATTTATAATTAATTAAAAATTTAATAGCTTAAGCATGATCACAATTAGAATATAAATTAATACTTTTATTTTTATTCTATAATTTATACTTAAACATATAATACATAAAATAAGTTTAATTTTATTATAAATATCTATCTAATTTATAACTGCTTGCTTTAGTAAAAAAAAAATTAAAATGCTTGTGCCACATTTTAAAAATAGTAAATATTACCTTTGCAAACAGTTTGACTCTGATTTTCAAATAAACTAAAACTTTGTACAGGGGCAATTATTACTCCTATATTGGATATATCGCTAAATAGCATAGTAGCGGGTGTGGGTGTACTGACTAATGATTTGCCAAGGATCGAGGTGCATTTCTTCAAGTTGCTAGATTTTTCTACGAAATACTTGAAAAATACATACGTGCCTTGTATTGGCCCAGAAGTAGCTTGGTACACAGATTCTCTTTCATAAACATCTAGATAAATTTAAAATGAAAATAATAAAAAGTATATTTAAAATCAACATGATAGTTTAAAATTAGTTTGCTACCAACTTGATTCATCGATAAAATTTGATACTAGATTCTGTATAGGAATGACCGTTTTTTGGCCACTAGGTAGTTGTTGTACAAGAAATGTGCTGCCTACACCTTGTGACGTAGTAAAGTCGCATGTGTAATCAGTTTCTAGTTGAGCGGTCACGGTGTAGTTAGCAACATTTTGTCCCTGACAATCATCAAATACTCCAAATAGCAAAAAAGTAATCTTTGGTGCTATAAAAAAAATTAATATTTTGTAACAAATAAGCTAAAAAATTAAGATTATATATTGATAAATATTTACTGGGAGTGTTTTGGTTGCATCCAGCTTTAGTAGCACCTTAAACATGAAATAAAAGTATAACTTTTATTTATTTAGCGAGCATACAAATATTATTTTAACATCTTACAAGTTATAATCAAAATTAATACAACAAAACATAAATATTGTTTAAGAAACATAATTGTTAAATGTTTATTACAAACTAAATATATTAATAAAAAAAATAATTTTTAGCTTCAGTTAAAGTAGATTTTTACTTTTACCTAAAAAATACTTTTACTTATTTAAAAGAAATTACTTATCTAAAGGTATATATAAATAGCATATACGATATTTTTTATCAAGTGTCATAGTTAAATTATATCTAATATTATATGTATAATGTAAAATGGAAATATACTGTATTGATATGTATCAATAAACATCTGATAAAGTACTTTACAATAGTTACAACTTATAATCTTATATGATTTTATCAATTGATATATTTTTTATAAACTTGTTTCTAACTATGTTACTTTTTTAAGTATAATTTTATATTTTATTATAATGAATTCTAAAAACGGCAAAATAAAACAATAATAATATTATTATTTTATATTTATTATAAATTCAATGATTAAAAGTAGCATTTGTAAAAGTGGGCGTTTAATTATTTGTATATTTATAAATTTGTAAAAATTTTAAAGATTAATGACAGATAAAATTTAAATATTACTACAAGTTACTAACTATGTAATATTAATACACTATGATAAAATAATTTTATTTACAATACATTCGGATTGTTTATTTAGCTTTTATTTCTATAAAATTGAATGTATTTTTTAAATTAATTTATTATTTACTACAGAAAGTTGCAAAAATAAATATAAAACTAATAAATTTACCATAATAAACAATTTAATTATAATAATGGGCCGAGAGCATACGTGCTGGTTTAAATTTAACAAGTTTATTCTAACCGTTTTAGCAATAATTGGGATAATTGGTGGCATATTATTGCTATTAATGGCTATTATATTTATGTTGACCACGGGCGAACTACATAATAAGGTAAATATAATAATAATTTTAATTAAACATGTAAATAGATTAAACTTTAAATTTACTTTTTACAAATAAACATATTATTTTCTATCTAGACACTTGTGATAGCATGTTGTGTTGTATTTGGC